ATTCTAAAAACTTCCAAGTTAGTTTTTCTCCATTTGCGCTCAAGATTACTTGCCATTAAAGCAAGTAACAGTGAGTAAAACAAAGGTAATGTGTGTGAATAGAGTATTAGCAATGTACGCGAGATTAGCGGCAACCACGCTGGCGATGCTAACGGGCTACAAGCTAATAGCGGACTCGGGAAATCAAAATAAAACTGATTGTTTTTGTTGTAGAATTCGATAGGGGATATATTCATACGTTATTGAAAAGGAAATTATGGTGTATAACATTGATTTTAAGATAAAGAATTAACTTGACGCAGCAGCAGCAAACAGGAAGTGACGTCCCTGTTTGATGTGTCCTAACATTTATATAACTGTTAAAAGACATCAGTGAAAGTTGTGAGAATGCTCCCTGTTCGCTGGATTATGCTATTATCTTGATTGATGAATGTTTAAGTATTTACTGGAAAACAAGACAGAAATACTGAGAAAGATATTTAATTTTTGCAGTGTAATGCAGCTTGAATCACATCTAAAGACGCAGTAGGGACAAACGCAGCTGTGAACACTGCAAACTAGTGAAGTTATTACTGTAAACAGCTGATGACAGCCTCATGTTCACATGTACAGCCGGAGATTCATGCACAGCTCAGGACTCCCAACAATCAGAGCAAACGGTGTCAGCAGCAGCATTCACACCTGATATCCATTACATCATGTATTTTTAAGGTGGAAAACATCTTGCATATGTTGTAAAGGACCATCACATCCAAAATAACCTCTCTAATCATCAAGTGACAGACACATTAAAACACGTGTCTCAGAGCTCAGTCTTCACAGAGGAAGCAGAGGTGACATCTCTCACGTTTGTCAATGCACAGAAATCTTAAACCAGCATTAATTGCTTCACAGTTATATTTTTGTCAAGCGGAATGAATCCGATCTGATTGCAGAGTATTAAAGTGTAGTTTATATGAACCTGAAATGCTGCAATCAGATTCACATATTCGTTTAAATGTGCATTACTTCATGCAAACCAAACATCAGCACATGTGCAGTTCACAACCGGAGATGGAAAGAAAACAAACAAACAAAAAAATTAATAAATGTAATTGGAACTTATTTCACAGGTTGTACTTTTTTTTTTTTGCAAAAATATTTTTTTTCCCTCAGAATTCTGTTTAGCCTATAATTCAGTTTTTTTGTTTGTTTTTGTCACAGAATTTCAGAAAAAAGACCTTCGCCCCTCAGAATTGTGAGATATAAACTCACAATTGCAAGACAATGCATTGCAATTTTCTTTCACATTTTTTTAACAGCATGGTGAAAACAAGCTTCCATAAAAAAAGAAAGTTGACTTATATGTAGAAGAACTTTTTAGCAAATATTCAGATGAAAATAAACACAGTACACACATAAAATGTAAGCTTCACGGCACTGTGCATGTGTGCAATATATTTTACAATCCAATAAGAGAGTCATATTCAAGCATTTACATGCTTATTTTTTCTTGTTGA